GGGTCAAACCTCCATAGTAGAGGTATGTTACATTTGGCACAGCGTGCCCCTTTCTTATAGACGTCGTCCACGCATAGGTCGAACGTCATATTTTTTTCTTCGTCGTGTCTTTTGTAGCGAAGGAGTTTCTTGGCAATGTTCTCCTTAGCAACGTCCTCCGGCGTCGCATCGTAGCGCAGCTGTGGCCCCCATGCTCTTTTCAGCTGCCCAGCATACTCCACGCGACTTACAGCGGTGTATATCAAATTGCTCCAACACAGCCGCTGGTCTACGATCCATAAGGTCTCCTTAATGGTCAACCCCTGCGCACTATGGACGGTCATGCAATACCCCAAGCGCCAATCGGGGTGGGAGGTGATCCTTTCCACCTTTTCCATGGGCACCCAGGCCTTATCATGCGTCACTGCGTTTTGCAGTTGGATATCGGTGCCAGGCACACAGACGTCGCGGCGCTGCATGCGGGTATCGTGGGGCTTGTAACAAACGGGCACCAAATGGCTAGGAAAGCGCTCCTGGTGTATTCGGAACAAATCTTTCTGAATGCGGGCCTGTGCTGCGCGCTTACTGCTGAGCACCAAATCCTTGGGGTGCCACGCGTAAAGGAAGTCCTCGTATTTCTTCGCGCGGACATGCTTACGCAGCACTTTGTTTTGTTCCGCGTCGCTAAGGCCCCGTAATGCCGCCTTTAACTTACGTACTTGGTCTTTGCTGCGGTAGTCGGTGTTGATTTCTTCGCAGTGGTCCACCATGCCTTTTAACCATTCGTGGGGCATTTCGCCTGCAATGGGCGGCGGTTGGCACGGATCCCCCGCAAATATCACTTGGCATTTCCCGCGGAGGAAGCCTACGAACTCCCGCAGGATCTCCAAAGGCACCGTGCAGATCTCGTCCCAAAGTATCACGGGAGGTATGTCGCGTACTGCCTCCGGTACCCACTTTATGCCATTCCAGCGGAAGAAGCTGTGGTAAGTTTGCGCGTCGTGGCCCATCTCCGCTAATTCCCTTTCCAGACGGTGCGTAGGAGTTAACACCTTTATTTTGGGAAACAGTTCCAAAACCCTGGTGGTCTTACCGCTGCCGCCCGTCCCGTAAAGGTAAGAGAAGCGTTGGTAGGAAATAGGATCCGCAACAGACGGCAATGGCTCCTTCGTGGGCGTGGTGGCACCTTTGGTGTGTTTGCCGTGGTATTCCACGCGTTCGCGCCAGGCTCTTATCTCTTCGTCTTTGACGCGCCATTGACCACTCTCCGCGAGTTCGTCTTCGGTGTAAAACTCCTGCATCTTTTCCAACACTGCGGGCTTCACGTACAGGGAATCCGTGGCCACGCGTGGTATGTCCTCTTTGTCGAACCGCAGCAGCATCGCAAGCAGGTTAATATGCGCATAGGCTAACATGCTGGCCCGCAAATGGTAATACTGTGGTCTGTGGTCTTGGTAGTAGCATAAAGCGTTCCATTGGTGCAGTTTGTCGTCGGCCATGTAGTCCCATTTCTCGACAGACACCATCGTTCCTTCGTCATGCGCGCGCTTGATAAGGAAGCTTAGTTCGCCGGCGTCCGTAATTAGGCGCCGCTGCATGTGCTTCTCGCCTTCTTTTGCGCCCTGCGTGAACTTGCCTATGACAATCCTTGCGGTGGGGTTGTGCTCGGGAAGCCATTGCGTAAAGGCGCTGTGACACAGTATGGCTTCGTGGGCTGTGTATTCGAGCAGCTGACGCTCTTCGAAGAACTTCAACAGCGGCACAGGAATCCATTCTTTCTCCTGCAGGTGCTTCCCGTACCACGCGTAAATTATGGGGTGTAGGCCCGGCGCTAGGTTCCAGCTGGTCAGTCTGACAAACCCCGTTGCTGGGGCGTCGTAGTGACCATCCAACGACACGCGGAAGAACTGGGAGTCAGGATGCCCGTAACGGTCGTAATACTCTTTACAGTCTCCTAGCCCTTTGAAACTCGCCGGGTAACAGTGTTTCATGTCCAGCGACACGTATTCGCCTTCGTCGTACTCCATGTTCCAAAGACCACCGTGACCATGCTCCACGCAGGCTTTGGCTATGTCCCCAAACTCGGCGGGGGTAGGTTTCCACCCATTTCTCTTCTTGGCCGCTAAGAAGTCCAAACTACGGGAGCTAAGGACCTCGTCTGAGAAGTCCTCACCTAAGCTCTCGCAGGCACTCTGTATGCGCAGCTGTTCCATTTCCGGCCGGTACAGAGTCCCATCTTGCGTCATAATTTGACGCCCCTCAGCGTCCATCAGCCACACAGAATTCTCGTGGACTAATTCTGCCAACGGCGACGTCTTGTAAACGCGCGTCTCCTTCTTTTTGGGGAACCTCAGCTCTCGCCACGCGTGTGCGTTGTGTTGGTAAATCACGATGGGAGCACCTCTGCCGCCATACTTGTGCGTCCCGGGGTAGATAAAACCGTTGGTGATATCTTTCACGTGTATACGGCGTTCTAACGCGGTTTCCAGCTTTTTGATGTTTTCGATGGTGGCACCGGCCTTACGGGTCGCATCTTCCCACTTGCGGATGGCTTCTCGTCTTTTCAACGTGAGCTTACCACCACGGGCGGAGTCTTCAAAGAACTCTCGGACCAGCTTCCCTACACAGTTCCCAGGATGTCGCATCGGTTTGAGCTTCTTAACGTCAGGCTTCTTGATCTCATACGCCCCGTAAATGACCACAGTGACCGGGTAAGCGACTTCGTAGAACAACATGTCTATTCCCTCCAATGCTCCCGGCCGCGTGTCCTTGTTCAAAACGAACAGGTCCCTCCTACCAGACGCTCTGATGGGATTCCGACCCTTTTCTATTATCCACTCGTCGTCTAAGTATTTTATGAACGTCAACTCCAAACGGTAGTTGCCTTCGGGCATTAAGTCGATTATTCTTCCTGCTCTTTCTCCTGTCATAGTCTCGTCTGTATCTCCCTCCATAAATGTCGTGAAGGCAAAGTCGGCGTCTAAGCGGTCCAGCACCTGAGTCCTGAGCTTGCGCACGGTTTTATTTCTAATGCTTTTGATGGTATCCATCTATATGTAAGGAATATCTTAACCTTCGTTTGCAGTACCCCAACAGAGCAGCAGTAAGGGACATTTCGCGAGGCCCGGGTAATTCCCGACGCGGCCCTTTGTGGGGTGGGGCGGGGTTTTCCCGTCTCTCCCGGTACCCCTGCCGCGAGTCCCCCTTACTGCTGCTCTTGTATCCGAACGAGCTAGGATTTCTTTATAAACAATTCCTTACCTTACAAAATCTAAAGATACAGTACATCTTGTATATATATCATTTTATGTTGGTGTTTCAGTATTTTCTTTTGTMTTGTGGTACTTTTAGAATAAACATTTTCATAAGATCAAAGTTTTCCTCTTTCTCTTTTCCCTTCGTCTCCCTTCCTTTCGTCTCTTTTCCTTTCTTGCTTACTTTTTGCCCCTTTGCTTTCCTTTCTTTATCTTCTGACACGATTTAAAAAAAATTCCAAATCAAAGGGCACAAAAAACGATCGTTTWATGAATAAAGACAACGATGGTGAATTGCATTGTCATTCACCATTTGCACACGAAACATAAACAGTATCGAAATTCGATAAATATAAAACTCTCTGAGCTCGTTATGTCTCTACAAAGATTGCTATATTTCCTAGATTTATTGACGTTTGGGATACTGAGATCACAGGTAACTCAAGCTTGGTTTCTGGGGTGTCATGTTATAAGGAAAAGTATAAGATTCTTCGAAAGATTCAATAAAATCATTGAAAAGTGAAATAAAGCCTCGAAATTTTACCTGATTATTGAGAACTAGCACTTCTTTCGTTCTGTGTGGTTGAATTTAACCCATTTTCAGGATTTTTTCCGGGGGAAAAGAAATTAAATGTGGGTGTCCCGAGCTTGAGGTCTGGTCACGTGGTCTCTAGAGGTTTGCAGTTTGAGGCATTCGTAAAAAAACCCCTATCTAAAACTCCCTATTATTTTATTACACATTTTTAGGGCGATCGTTCGCGATGTGATATGGAAACTCGTCAATAATCAAACTGCTTTTGGCGAACTCGTTAATAAAAGAAACATCTTTCRCGGCATCTTGAACTTTCTTGTTAATACCACCCGATTAATTCCTAATCCCGCGTTGAGCCTTGAATGTCAGCAACTAACGGTGAAAGAGCATGCATAGACAGCATTAATTTTCGACAAGTGATACSCAGCCACACCCCTAATATAACCAATCACTTTGATAATTTAGTAGTGACATTGATTGACAACTGTCACAAGGCAATAGATCAGTCTGTACACGGGATATTATATGCCCACAAAGGATTCGGCAACACGTTGCAAGATTTTAATTCAGCTTCAAAAACTCACGACGCAGAATGGCGATTTTTTTGCAAGTTGATTCATGTAACAGCTTCATCAACGATTATTCGCACAACACATACCCAAATTGCAGTTCAATACTCTAATACAAGCGAGGCGATGTCAACAAATAAGATGGCGGCTTTGAAGGAGACTACGCGAGGACTGAGGACGATGTTGTTACTTTTAAAATCGCTAAAAATCCTACACAGTAACATGTTGATTTTCGAACGTACGTTGCGCGAAAAGTTGACTCATGTAACACATATTAAAAATCGACGAGTCGTATCGTGAAAAATCACCGCTGCGAATCGTCCCGTGTAACGTCAGCTTAAGGTCACGCTCATTTCTAAGAATCGCACAATAACTCAAAAGAAACCGATAAAAAATGCTCCTCCTAAATTATGCATTCATGGCGTGACAACATTTCAAGGAAGTAATTTAGTCACGCTCATTTCCAAGAATCGCGTAACAATAGACTGACAAACAACATTATTCAGACAACTCCCTCAACGCGTCGCAACTCCCGAAGACATGGAATCGTTTGTTGAAGATCTTAAGAAGGAACTCCGATGTTCCCTGTGTGATGATACTTTCACTGAACCAAAGATCTTGTCTTGTTTCCACACATTTTGTAAGCCTTGCATCAAACGACACGCCGAGCGAGTGAACCAAATCAACATCTTCAAGTGTCCTCGATGCAAATCACAAACTTCTCTACCAGAACTAAGCAGCGTCGAAGATCTACAGCCAAGTCTAATACATTCCACAATATTGAAGGGTCTGGCGTTGGTAGAAGGAGAAAAGGTTTGTTCTGCTTCTGAGAGTCATTCGTCAGCTTCTTGGTATTGTTTTGATTGTGATCATTCACTGTGTCAAGAATGCGAGAAGAGCCATTCGTTCTTCATTAAAGATCACAAAGTCGTTCGTTTGGCTGATTTGAAGAAAGAAGATATTCAGTTCGTAATAACAAGAGAAAATCCTTGTTCAAGTCACCCTCATCACAGGCTAGGGTTCTTCTGTGAAGATTGTGATGCAATGATTTGCAGGACATGCTTGATAGATCATAAGACGATGTCATTAGATAAGTTTGCTCCTATCAAGAAAGCTGTATTGTCAAAGCATCTGCAGGTACTAGAGCAGTTGAGATTAGATGACAAGGAAAAGCAACAACAAGAAAAGATTGCTAACACAATCAAACAACAAGGAGAAAAGGCAAAAGAAGAAGTCAAAGACAAAACCAAAAAGATCATCCAAATAGTACAAGACAACGAACGAGAATTGCTGCGACAAATCGACGAGAAGTTGGAGACAGCCACAACAAACTTGAATATAATTCATCATATTCCAGCCGTCAAGGAATACATCAAGAATGTGATGGAAAGAGGACTGSCAAGTGAAATGATGAACATTCAAGAGACACGATGCTCTCAGAAGTATATCTTCAATCATATTCCACCATACTCTAGAATTAAATATGTTGCTAATGAAGAGCTGATGCGACAGGTGAATTCAGGGCTGGGAGAAATACAAACTTGTTTGAAAACAGACCATACTAAGAGCACTATTCAGGTGAAATCTGAGACAGAAGCTTTAACGAAAGAAAAGCTGATAGTAACAATTAAAAGCTCTACAGGAGAACTCAATCATGATCCAAGGGATGTTATAGACGTGCAAATCAAGACTGAAGAAAATGTGAAAATAGAAAAGAAATATGTGAGAACTGATGGTAAAGTAGAAGTTGAATTCATGACTAAAGTAGCTGGTCAGTTGACAGCAGAGGTTCAAGTGAATGGGAATCATGTATCTAACAGTCCACTAGTGGTGAATGTCAAGCCACAAGAGATGAGAACAACAGGACAGTTTAACATGAAAGGTATAAATATAGGATCTAGTTTTTTGGGAGGTATAGTGGTAAACAAAGACAATAGCAGGATCGCTGTTTCAAATGGTTCTTCTGACTGTGTTTATGTATTCACCACTGATGGAGATCTCTTGCTAACGTATGGTAGTCAAGGTATTGCACAGAGACAGTTGTCTAATCCTCAAGGTTTAGCATTTCTGAATGATACAGATTTAGTCATAGCAGACTGTGATAATCATAGAATGTGTATAGTGAACACCACAACAGGGACATTGGTAAAAACCTTTGGTAATCAAGCCCATAACGGTGATGGGGAGTTTGTACACCCATGTGGAGTACACGTTGATAACGATGGTAACATCATKGTTTGTGATAGTGATAATCATCGCGTTCAAGTCTTCACAAGAGACGGTGACTATCAATATCAGTTTGGTCTGACAGCCAAGGACATGTTCGAACCAAGTGATGTGATAACATATGATGGACTGTTTTACGTCAGTGATTATAGTAATCATGTTATTCATGTATTTGAGAAGAAAGGTAATGTAGCGACTAGACTATCGACGATTGGTGGTAAAGGCAGTGCTGATGGTGAGCTAAAAGGACCATGGGGCCTGGCTATTAGCAATGACCATCATCTACTGGTGTGTTTGTATAATAATAACCGCGTGCAAAAATTAACTTTGGATGGTCGTTTCGTAGGAGGGACTCCTGATGTAATGGACAACCCTACATATATAACTGTTTTAAAGGATGGTCAGTTATTAGTTAGTACGTATGGTTCTGGTGTCTGGTGTGTAAAGTAGAATTGGCTAATATTTTACAGTAACATTTGTTTCGATATGACATATTGAATGATATCCCAGGGTTTGACATGTGCTAAAATATGACCATTCGCGGTTTATACATTTGATATCTGTTTTTATTCTTCTTTACTTTTGTTTCCTTTTGGTTTCTTTTGACTCATTTCACAGCTTCACTTTTTTGTTCCTTTTTATTGTTTTCTGTTTTAGTCTTTTAATCGATTATTCATATATCGAATACGAAACTAAAAAAGGGAAAGAAAAGAAAAAAGAACAAAAAAGTGAAGCAGTGAAAGGAGTCAAAAGATCATATATATTCTTTCACAATAAAGCGGCACGTATTATTTCAGATCTCCTTCCATTTCTAACGCTACTGATGTTTCGGAAAGATTAAATGGGGAATGTCAGCTTTATCGTAGAGAAGAATAAAGCGTCGTGCTTTTTTTATCGATAGGTATTAATGTTTAGTAAAGACTTTTATAGTTCTATGACAATATTTGTAAGAAAGGTAAAAATAGAACTGAATTTGGGTCTCTGAACAACAAATAATTTTGTATCTGATGATTGGCATAAGTTTGATGTATATATAAGGAATGCATCCTCTTTAAGGTATTAGGATACGAAAAATGACAATTTGCTCGAAAAATTTTTTTTTTTTTGAAATTTCGTAACTTTAAACTTTTGTCTTTCATATGTTAGTGAAACTTCTTGCAATTTTTGATTTGAAAAACCAAAATTTTGAGACAAATCGAAATCGTGACTTTATCAAGACCRGAAATGTCCCGTYGCTTGCAATAACGTKGAGTCCAAATGCTCCTTTGTCCTTGTAAAAAGATTCTACATTTTGATCGTCCAGAACAACAGATAATATATGACAAGTGATGACAAAATGGAAGGCTGAAGGTGTTTTAACCAACACCATCGTGGCTCCCTGCAGCTTCCGGCTCCAAACAAAGA